TGGTAGGTCCTGTAATTAATGCTTTGGTTCTGGGGTACATCATCAACTGTATCAGCTAGAAACTGAGTTGTTTCATGCTGTAGACAGCTATGAAAGAGCTGCAGTGATTTTTATCTCATATGTTTAAATACAACTTTTTAAAAATCTTGTATCTTTTTATCTTTTTATCATGTGGCTTAACTTCCATTTCATGTAGCTTAATGTTGTGGGATTTTTTGGCATCTGAAATCTCATAGAGGAACTGAAGGTAATAATTATGCATGGAATTATTTACTTTCATTTAATATTGATGTATTAAATGCAGATTTTTTTTTCCATTTCATCCAATAATACCAATGCAATCTCAGTAGTAATAATACGCAGTGAAATAAAGGGCTTTGATTGCAAAGTCACAGAATCCCAGAATGGCTCAGGTTGGAAGGGATCACAGTGGGTCATGTGATCCAACTTCCCATCTCAAGCAGGGCCATCCCAGAGCACATGGCACAGGATTGTGTTCAGTTACTGAATATTTCTGGTGAGGGAAATTCCACAACATCTCTGGACAGACTGTTCCAGTGCTTGGAAAGTTCTTCCTCTTATTCAAGCAGAACTTCCTGTGCTTCAGTTTCTACCCATTCTGTGCCATTGCTAGGCACCACTGAGGAGAGTGATTAGCACTAACAATTAAGAGTAACCTACATCCACATTTGCTTTACAAGTAAAGAACAAAAGATATTCACGTTTCACACATACTGCATGCTGTCTGAACCTAAGCAGCTGTTTTTCTCCAGGATGAAGGAGTACAGGTCTGAATACATGAACTAATCATTCTTTAGTCCACCATTGTCTCAGGGGAACAGCTGGTACTAGGCTAAGTGGGGCAGAAATCAGAAGACCCTACCTCTGATAGCAAACAAATAAATACAATAAACCACCAAAAATAACCTTTAAACTTTACCTTCATGGCTTTGAGAACACAAATCATCCATGGTTCCATAGATCTTCCATTTATCCATTGCCTCTGATCCTGTTTTCAGTGCAATGTTTTCTTTCTTTTTGCCAGCACTGAGAAATAAATCTTCCCCTTGGATTGCCAAGGCTGCATTTCTGCATTCCCATTTCTGCAATTCACTTTTCTTGTTGCATGGGTACAGAGAAATTTTAGCCTGGTTTCTCTTGTAGGGCACTCCCAAGCATTGTGCAAATGCCACGCTCATTAACTGATGATCAGAGACCCACCTGAATTTTTGTAAGTCACTGTTTTTCTTGCAAGTGGCTGTTGTGACTGCCTCAGAACTTTGAGCAATTAAACAGAACTTAGTATCCTCATTGAATATTAAGAATATTTCCTTGTCTGTAAAATAAAACATTCAGAATAAGTGGTTAGGGTAATCACATGGTAAGGGGAGCTTGTGGGGAGAAATATGTGCTGTTTATTCCATGCTGATCTGACTCATGTCAGGAGGCTGCAAATTTTTACAAGGACAAAATGGTATTGTCAAGACACATTTCATTCTGGGAAGGAAAAGTAAGTACAGCTCAGTAAATACATGGCTACACAACACAGAAGACATAAACTACATTAACACAGCTTCAAAAATGTGATCATAATAATGGAATTTTATCTTCTTCTGAAATGCACATTTCATTCAAGATTTCCAAAAGGGCTCTTTACTGAAAATTTGGAAGTTTGCCATCACTTTCATGCATTATAGATTTAGCTCCTGTAATGTACATCTCCAGGGAGTCGCATTTGTGCTTAATACAGTTAGTGAGAGAGCCTTCTGTGACTCTTTTTCCTCTGGAATTTACATGTTCTGTTACAATTTGGGGATTTTTTTGGAGTTAAAAACCTTGTGATGGTGACTTACTACTTTGCCTTGATCCAATATACTTCCCTTAGCACATCTATCAGAAGAAGATATTTGCACAATAAAGCACAAACATTGTCACAAGAACAAACACTGCAGAGCATATAGATAGCATAGGTGTGGGCCTGCATGCCTGTGCATTGTGAGTGCCACACAAGATAGTTAACACTCCCAAAGGGTTATAGGCAGCCTGATGTAGTAATCCACTGAGACAGGTAAACCCTGCTGGGAAGGGCTGTCCAGAACTGCAGCTGTGCTGTAACACACACACATTTTTCCCAGTTCTTGGGCAAACAGCTCTGTGCTCTTAAAAATGTCAGGTAGCATGCAGCTCTCACCAGCTTTGGCTCATGAGGGATTGCAATTTGGACTACAAGGAAGATTCTAGGATCTATAGAGCAAGGTTTTGCCCTTCAGCTCTCTGTGCCTCAAAATCACACGTGGAAACAGAGATGTAGCATCACTGCCATAATCCTGAGAGAGTAACTCACAAGAGGCAGTGAGACACCCCTCCACACATTAAAGTAAATGTTTAGGACAAGTGTAGGATGTTAGGACAAGCCAGTGTTGAGTAGTGAACAGAGGAGAAAGTTTTCAGAGCCTTAAGTATCTCTCTCATCTTTACTCTTACTGCTGTAGTGGTTATTTCACAGTTGTTCTTGACTCTCATATATTTCTACTTTATTTTTTCACTGGCTTTTTCTCAGTCACATTGCTACATCTTACATCAATCCACAAATTCCATCTCATCCCACACAATCTCATGCTAAGGCTAGGAGATACACAAGCAGCACCCTGTTTAATTCCTTTATCCTTTCCATTTTTTGTGAGTCAGTCACATATATAGACAAAGACTATGGAGCACACTGTGAAATCCATCTACATTACAGTAGCAAACATAACCAATAAAGAAGTTGTACTCAAAAGTCAATCTTTGTTCACATATGTGACTCAGTCCTGACCTCTGATTCCTAGCTTTACCCTATTTTGCATATTCCCCTCTAAAAGTAAATCAACACCTCTGTATGTGTCTTGTGGAGACTTACGTGGACCACTCCCATTAGGACAAATATGAAATGCAGAGTAGTAAAGCTTATGTGAAAATCTTAAAGATTCTGAAAAACCAGCAAGACAACAAAGATTCCCACTTTCACATCCACTTTTGCAGGGGATAGGAAAAAATGGACTCACCGAGTGTCTGAAAAGCAGTATGAACAAATGAGAGGAAAACTAATACTGTAGAAAAGGTCAAGGTTTTCATTCTGTCTTCTTATTCACAAAGAGATGAGTTGAAATAAATTGCTGTAGCAGAGGTCCTAAAAGAATCAGTTGGCACTGGCTCCTTCTCAGTTTTGGAGATTTTTAGTTGAAAGAGAAAACTCTGGGCTCTAAATAAGGAAATATCCTGTCACATGTGGTATTTTGAAATCTATAATTACAGAATTCAAACTTTGCATCTGGAAGTGAAGTTTCCATCCGTTCAAATGCAAGTGGCAAATTTAGAGCAGTTCAAGATCATTCCACTGAATGATTTTTAAATTTCTTCTTTCTGTGCTGGAATTGTAACATTCTGACCCTCAAAGACAAAGAATCAGGGAGTGCACTTTAAATGGATGTATCTTAAATATCATACATATATGAGAAACTCAGAGAAAAATATATGCAAATTTCTCAACCAGATAGGTCTTCACTGCTGCAAAAGATATATTGATTTCATTTACTGCAGTGAGAAATTTTGACTATTTCAATAGGAAAAATTAACCCACACATGACAATTTAATTTTGCTTGGTGACTTGACAAACTGGGTCCTATGCATACACCCACCTTTTATCTATCTGGTGTATCAGCTAGTAGAACTAGTGTGCTATTATTTCATGTGAATTTATCTTAGAAGAACCAATACAAATTAGCCAAATCTTTACAAATCTTTCTGTGATTTTGGCAAAAAAATCTGCCTCTCAAAATATTTCATCCATAAAGTACAAATGAGCTTTAGTACTTTAGTCTTTCTTTATACCAAGCATAAATGAGACAAGGATAGACGAATAATTTCAAATTTTACAAGTGAGCTTCAGTCATTTATTAAGTTGACATGAACTGCAGCTATGATGCACAATCCCTTAGTAATTTTGAAAAAAAGGGAGGAAAGAAATTCAGTTGAAATAGCCCTTCAAATTTGCTCTCATTTTTCTTGTCCTTGTTATGAAGGCAAATCTCACAGTATTTTCTGCAAGAGCAAAGCATCACTTAATAAAATAGAAGAAACTCATTCACAAAACACAGAGTCTCTGGAGTTGTGTTATCAATATAAAAAATAAAATAAAATAATGATATTATTTTGGATTTTTTAATCTCTTTATTCTTTTAATTTACTTTGCCTTTATCACTGGCCATCAAACAGCACAGAATCCAGTTCTGTATTTACAAAAACATAAAAAAAAATTTTTGTAACTTACATGAAGAGGAAAAAATAAGCTGAAAGATCAAGAGGAATGCCATTAATAGTAGTTTGAGTAAAAAATGGCTTTTATTCCTTATCCTTTGCAATATGTTTTGTTTAATTGCCATATCTACAAATTGTCAATCCAATGTCATGTAGCATCTCCTCTGCAGTTCTTATGCAGTTTCTAAAGGTTTGTTATTCACAGAGATCCTTGAGATCTTTTTTCCTTCAGAATGTCATAGACAACAGAGAATTCCTAGAAAATGTAAACATCTCAGAAAAACCTCTAAAATATTTCACTAGCAAGGCACTGTTTTGTTCTCCACTCTTTTACTGGCCTGAATCATGAGCACAGTGCCCAGTTATCAGTCCGTTTATCAGAGACGTGGAGGATAGTAAGCAAAGCTGTCCTAAAATGAGTGATCAAGTGGAATAAAACCAGGAATGCATTCTTCCAAAATTTATTTGCCAACTACTTTATTCTATAGTTTATTTATGGCTTTTTTAATCATATGCCTTACTCATGTTTCTGTGTCTCCTCCTGCCAGCCAATTTTTTAAGGAAGCAGTTTCATTAAATCAACAACCTATATATCATTTCCGCATGCTAATTAAACACTGAAATGTTATTGTGTAATGTATAAATTGTTGACTGATATAGTTGCATGTTTGTAATTGATAAAAAAACATTCAAAGTCATAGAATAAAACTCTATGCAGATTTATTTGTTTTGCAAAGTCCAAGTTGAAGCCATGAATGAAGGACAAGTATTTGCATTTCACTTATAATACTATCACAAGGAAGATACTGAGTAAAGGGTATAAGGCAAGGGCAGCAATGGGGACAAACAATTCATGTAAATCTGCTTATTCCAAATATCACTTAAGTAACAGTGTGCATGCTTCTGAACTGTATGGTGAGATACTCTCAAAGTGCAGGCATTAGGGCTGAGTGCTCAGTGTTAGTCTTGACTCTGCATGTAATGCTGTCACAAATTCCTAAATAAGTAACCCATATCTTTTAAATCTAAATTCCCACTAGTTCTGTTTTTTTCTATGCTTGCTTAATTAGTTGTACTAATTTCGTACAGTACTAATAAATACCTGAGAGTATTTATTGAGGAGCATACAGCAATAGTTCCTAATCTTTACCAAAGGAGTAACTGCCAATTTTACTTCAGAAGTTACATGCACTTAAAAGAGACTAAGGTTTCCTTTAGTTCAGCTATATTTTTTTTTCAGCTTAACCATTTAATTGGGCTGTGATATCCCATCAGACAACACTGTGTTCATTTTCTCCTCTGTTGTTACTAGCATCAATTCCACTGTCCCCTGCAGTCAGGGCACGGCTGTATTCCAGCTGCCTGCTGCTCCGCCTCACCTCTCTTCCAGTTCCACCTCCAGTTTTGATCTTGAACAAGAAATAAATCATGAAGCCCACCCCCAATAAAATTATGAGGACCAGAGTAAGTAGTATCCACATATTCAGGTGACCACTGGCTTTGTCCTTTTCGGCATCTGTAAATAAATAAAAAGTAAATAGAAATTAATAAACTGTAGCCACAAATAAATATAAGAATATTGAAAACTATAATTTTTCCTTGAATTACCAGGTGGAAAATCTATTATAATGTCTCTGTGTCAGTCTTTCTCATAGATCTTGCCATGCAAAAAGAGGACCAGAGAGAGAGTGATCAATTTTCCAAAGCATTTGATTATCTTGGGGCTCCCTAAGGGTCTTGCAGGTACTGATAAATTAGTCTGGGAAAGAATTCAATGGCACCTAAGTAAATTAAGCTCATAAATATACATATACATATATATACATATACATATACATACACATATATACACACACACACACACACATATATATATATATATAAACTAAATAAATTATATTAAGCACATAACTTTAAAATTGTTTGGAATGGAAAAAAATCCTACCTTCCACATTTCCAGCTGCTTTAAGAATAGCTGTCAAAGATAAATACAAATGTTTAGTCAAAATCTAAAAAAGTCCCGACAGTTTCATGTTAGTAAAAGGTCTGGTAACCTGCACATCACATCTGTAAAACACTTCTGCTAAATTAGGTGAGCTGAAAGGGCATGAAAGGCTTTTAACCCCCTATTCCCGTCAATAAAATTGCAGTTTTTTGCATATTAAACCCCCTTCTTGCTTCTTTCGTAATAACCAGAATATCTCAAAGCTCTGTTGTGGTAGTTTCTGACTGTTTTAAGAGGACTTTCCTTTCCCTTCTCTCCGATTAATTAACCTTGCCCTTTTCGCCGGGTCTGTTTCTTGTGTAGACTGAGAAAACTTGATCGACTGCTGAGGACAATTGAGATTTCCTGTATCACATATAATTCTTTTGAGACCCAGCAGGTCTTAATTTACCATAATTTATTTGCATCTATAATTACACGTATGAACTGAAGCTTTCTTGTGCAGCTTTTCCCGGCTGTGCGCAGAGGGCGCCGTCTGCAAGGCTTTTCTCGGCAGCTGGGCTGGAGTTGCAGGGGGCTGGTTGTAAAGCATTGAAGGGTTTACTAGGAAAATCAGAGCACAGAACATTTCATGACCCAAGTGATCCAAATTTTATTGAAGAGAAAGACTTCTGATTGCTCTCCTGCAGAGCCTTCTTATTCCTGTGACTGGACTGAAAACTGGGTGAAGCTTCACGTCATACTTCTGGTATATTCAGATTCCAAGCCCAACCTTGACATTGCTTTGATTTGCCATTGTTTTGGTTTTTTTCTTTATCACACCTTAGCCTCTAATTTTAGATTTAATATTCAGTCAAAAAATTTAAGCTGCTGGGTGATGGCCGCAGCAAGGACGGATCTCCGCCAGGGAGTGTGGGATGCACCAGGAGCCGGGCTGCTGCAGCAGACCCAGGGCAATGCACTGGGCTCTGGTGTGTTTGCAAGCACAAAGGAAAAGCAGCTGTTCCATTTGTCTCTTGAAAGGGTGCAGAGCTGGCTCTAATGGAATAAATATCTGGTTGTGCTGAAATGCCGTTCTACTGGAGAGCCCAGTGTCAGGGAATACCCTCTGTACTTTGGCATTGCATATCAGGGACACTCTCAGTCAAACCCAGCAAATAAAGCTTCTGGTGATAGTGAGTTTCTGCTTTCTGATGTCTGGTAAAAGAGAACTATCATTCAGTAGTGTCTCTTGCCTGCAAAGAAAACTAGGCATTTTCCTAAAAGCAGAATTTTCCTTTCGAGGACATGCCCTGAACAATCCGTGACTGCTGCTTCCCCCACCAGCTGCAGGTTTGCTTTGGTGGGGGAAAGGACTGAACCTCAGAAACATCCTGAACCTTGGGGTTGTGAAACAGGGCAGGAAACTGGACTTTTTGCAGAATTAACAGTTAAACTCCAAAATACCACATGGTTGCTTGGCTCACAATATTCTGATATTTCTGCTTCCTGACTAAAGCAGATGGTGCTCAGTTATACAGAAACACTATATTAAAAAAAAAAAAACAAAACCCTAACCAAAACACTTCTACTCTCTTCAAAGGTCACTATATGCTCTCTGGATCGCACTTCCACTCCTATTTAAACAGAATTGCATCATCTACCTCTTACTGGAACAGCACGTATCATAGAGCAGCAAGAGGAAGAACAGCAAATTAGTGATGCCACTCTTGTTCCATAGAAAGAAAATAATAATGTCAGTAGAAAAAAAAATGTGCTTATGTTGGAAGAGAACAAAACAATAAAGAAGTTTGCTTTTTTTTTTCAGGAAATATTTATGATTTTTAGTTATTAATTGCATATTCCTCCCAGAATGTAAGAAAATCTGAGGTTATGAAGATAGAAATCATAAATATGGCAAAAGAAAAAAAAATTTGTATCATTTTTGTCTGAACATTGAAACATTTGGTCAATCTTCTGTAAAGCTCATATTGTGCTGTTACCATTGCGATAAAACCATAAATGGAAAGAGTGAATATTAATCACTTACTCTTTGGTTTCTTACAAATGAAGCCCTTTTGGGAAGAGCAGGGCAGGACATTCCAGTAGCCGGTGGCCGCAGACAGCTCCACGCAGAAAGCCAGCTCGTCCCCCGAGGGCTGCCCGTCAGCCCAGTTGACAAAGTCTAAGGGACTGCTGTCCTGCCAAAGCAGCAGCCCTGATGTGGCAAATGTTAGTATCAATACTAATAGATCCACAGGAAAGGCCTTCATCTTAGTGAATATTGACTATTTAATATTACTTTATTCAGATGAATAAAGCAATACTAATCTCTTCAGAAATTCTACCCGTGGTTGTTTTTTGATGTATTTCATCTCATTTGATTCTTGTCTCAAAAACAAAACAATTGCTTTCCCAAATTATGATTTGCAGATTTATCAGTCATAACTTAGTTTTAATTTCTATTTTTCCATACCTGTGCATGGGATATTAAAATTTTCAACTGAAAAAAGCTAAATTCAGACTTTTTATGAAAACTTTCTAAATTATTATTTCAGCAGTACTCAATGAAAATCATGATTTTACTGTAATGCTTAAACATATATTTAGTAAAAATTAAACCTTTTTTTTATAAACCCTAAAATAAAAATTTTGATGTTTCAATGGGGTGAAAATAATTTAAAATAAAACCCTTTCTGACTGCTTGTAGTCTGATAACTGTTTGCTTCCAGATGCATGTATTCTACTGTATGTTTTAGCAAGCAGCCTAATTTTCTCAATAGAGTCACAGAGGAGCTCTGGCTGGACTCCCACAGGTCCCACATGAGTGTTCCCCAGCCAAGAGATGATGAGAGCCAGTCAGGACTTTTTCCCCATCAGGAAAAGCTTTCTCAGAGATCAGGAACAGGAGACAACCTCAGAGATGATCCAGGTCTGATCTCCTACTCCAATTAATTGCTTAAAACCTATTTATTAATGGTTTTTTTCCATTTAATAAAGTCTGTTTATGATTACTTATAGAACTTGAAATAGTTACCATTTACATTTCTGTATATTCCTATCCAAAAGCCGCTTGTCTTGCTTGCATATAAATCTGCATGTTCTATTAAAAAGTTTGATTCATCCAGATCTGCTACAGAAGTCAACATACCACCTATAAAAAAAAAAACAGTGGAAGCTGATTGGAGATATCCCCAGTGTAGTTTGAGACAGGTTAAGGTTAATAAAAAAATCCTCTCCCACTGCTAGGGAGTAAAGAAGAATTAAATAGCGACCACAAGGTAGTGTACAGCTGTAGGGGAATAGCACAGATGGTGAGAGATGTCATCTGAAGTGAAAGGCAGAAAAGCACAGTGAAGGTGATGACTTTTAAACACTGGGAAAAGTGCACTATGTTTTCAAGTGATTGGATGATACTGTTCACAGGAATTATAATTATTTATTTGTTCTTCATGGTTTGATGGAATAATATGTGGCATGAAATACTGCGCAACAAACAAGCCTGAGCAACAAACAAATCTGCAATTCAAACTGATGTATTAATTTTTGTGGCAGTGGTGGTAGAGTAAGAGGGCTAAGAGGATCTTAAAAAGGTATGAAACAAAGGATCCATTTATTTTTTCTTTCCTGGCCTCCTGAGACGTGGATGAGATAGCTGATGACTCAGCAGCAAAGGTGAAAGAGTGCCAAGGTACTGCTCCTGGTCATGGCCAGGAGCAGATGTCTCCAAGGAGAAGGAGGGAAGCAGTTTCCCTGCCTGGGCTCTGCAGTCTGCCAGGGAGCCTTGCTGACAGAGCAAGGGCTACCAGCAGCACGTGCAACCCCTTTCGGATCAACCCCTTTCAGATCACACAGCCCCTGTTAAAAATTAGTGATTATTTAAATGATATTTACTTTGCCTATTGTGTAGGGAAATATATGGAAAAGAAGGGAAAAGGCCAGAAACAAATAGGTTTTTTCAAATCACATAAAATTTACGATCTTACTAAAAGGAGAAATTTTGTGAGTGAAAAAATATAACAAGAAACAAGCACAGATGGAAACATAAAAGAAGGAAATCACCTTAAATTCAACATAACTGAAAAGCAAATAACAATAAAAAAATAAATGAGACATTTATTCCTTATTTTTAATATTTGTAGATTTTGCATTATTACTTTTCAAGAGTTTTTTCAAGACTTCTTTTTAATGTCAAGATTAAAGTTTTATATTGGGTAAAATAATAATTACCTGATTGAATGCACTGAGTGACAGACTGAGCCCAGCTCATTTCATTGGCATTGAAGTTATAGCAGTGGCTTCGGAAAGGAATCCAAGATATGTGATCGGATTCAGGACATTGTCCAATATCCTGAGGGAGATCAGAAGGAAGTACATCTAGAAGAAATATTACAAATACTTTCATTCAGTAAGGATTGCAGTTCTTCATACATGAAATCAAATCTTAAAACCACCTTGTCTTGAAAGTATTAAAAGTATTCTTTGGCACACAGTGCTAGAATTATCAGTGTCTGACAAGAGTGACAACGAGGATCAGGACTGGTCAGCTGTGAGAGGATGACTCAGTGTGAACCTGTGCTCTTCTGTGTTACTAACTAAATCAAACTTGGATTGTCTCAAGGATATTTGAGTGTTGAAGGATTTTGGTTCTAGTTTATTTTGTAATAACCAATAAATTTATATAAATAAAAGAAGCATTAAAAAGCAGAAAAAAGTCGTCTCTAGAAAACTCACAAACTCTCAAGAAGTTCAAATAAGTTTTATTTTAAATGAAATATCATATAATAGAATTTTCTCATTTAATATTTTCCCTCAGGATAACAATCCTTCCATAAAATTTCTGAACATCTTTATATCTGACAAAGCATGAGGCTCATTGAGTATTTAAGTAGTAACCCCTCATTTTCCCACAAGCAATGACATCATGGAAAGAAATGGCAACATTGTCACTTAGTATTTGTTTTTTTTAAAACAAGAATTGGAAATTAACAGTATGAAGTTCAGAGCATGGCCTAGGAAAGAAATTAAAAAACAATCAACCAATCAAAAAACCTCCACAAAATCCCCAACTCAAAACAAAACAAAAATGAAACAAAAACTCAAAAAACCCCAAATAAACTCTGAATTTACATTAAATGCATGTCACTAGAGCTAACAGAAGTTACTCTAACAGAAATGAGAAAGCAAAAAAGCCCAGTCCCATTCTGAGGTTTGCCTGTAGTTTTACTGTGTAGCATTCCCCAGTGCTACCCACAGAAATCCTATGAAGTATGAACTTTTTTTTGGGCCAATAACATACCCTTTTTTATCAGATACAACTCTTTCTCCTGTATCCAGTTTTCAAAATCCAAAAGCAATGAATTAACAACCACTGTAGGAATGATGTGCATATGTTGAAGAAATTATTTATTTTATACTCAGTGGACTTCATTGATTACAGACCTTCCCATAAAACCTCTGTCAGCAAAACATTTTACATTCTAGACTTAATGTGAAATGCCTGATATTCCCACAATCGCTATGATCTGTCTGCCTGCTGTCATGGCAGCTATCACTCCAGTCCAGTAAAGTGGCAACATCTTGGCTGGTGAATGCTGACTCCATCAAAATAAAACATTTTCATGCAAAATAAAGGTATTTACATTACATACTCAGCCTTATTATTCTTTGATATATACTTAGAAATTTGCAATTCAGTCAAAGCAGATAAAGCAAATTTTCTGCCATAAAACCAAAAGTCATTGCCATTGCTTACCCTCAGATTTTTTGCAGACAGGAAGATGTTTCTCATCACAACGTGCTGTTTTCCAACTCCCAGAGAGTGCTAGATAGACACAGGCTATTTTCTGTTTTGGTTCTCCATAGTCCCACTCAGAAAAATTCAGTTTCCTTTTATTGGTCCATATATAATATCCGTAACTCTAAAATTGAAACAGACATTTGACATAACTGTTCTAAACTCTCATCTGCTGTTTCAGCTGAATGCAGTTATACACAAGCACATTTTCAATGTGATACAGGCAGTTGGTGTATCTGTGCAAGAACTGTTAAAATACTGGTTGAATCAGGACTCAGCAACGTAAAACCCAGACACAGCAGTATGGCTCCCATGCTGAACAGCCTGTGGAAGTGTTTTGAAGGCTAAATAATGCTCCCTGGGGACTCAGTCCCTTGTCAGGCAAAGTTGTAAGGTGGAATCACCATGCCAGAAGAGTCGGATCTCCATGAAAAGAATCAAGACCATAAGAACATGAAACCTATGGAAAGCTCAGGTCTCAGAGTTGGCTATCAAACCAGGACTCTAAGCTCCAGCAGTTTTGAGGAGAAACATTCAGGAGTAAACTGAAGCTATCACTAATGAGGGGCCTGAGAAAATTATTACTTTGTAAGAAGCAAAAGAGAAACATGTTGAGCAGGAATTCTTGAGCCTTTGTTTAGTCTTTCCTCCTCCACTTTTTTATTTTCCAGGAAGAATCAGAAGAATTACAAGGAAAAGCTAACAGACATAGACAATATATTGCTGCCATTAAGAGGGGAATAAGATGTGATCTCACTCCAATGTCTAACTGTGCCAAGAGAGATGCCAGGTACACAAGGTCATACTGAGCTTGGCATCACCAGGGCAAGGTCAGTCTGCCTGGGGAGCAGGAGGAACCAAAAAGCTTGACTCTGAAAGATCAAGGATGGCTTGTTTATAAGTACCAGGGGAACATCTGGTGATTCAAGCTTGATCAAAATGGAATTTTAACTGCTTTCTAAATCATATTGCTATGACTAAAGAACAACCTGCTTTGGTATCAAGTGGGCCTAAACACTATTATTTTGGTTTGGGTAGAGGTGCCCTATGGACTTGTGCAAGATTTATTTTAAGGTTAGTGACTACCCATCAATTATGTGAGCATTTTTTCTGGTGGGGCCAGGGGCGACACTGTTAGAATAGTGGAAATATGTATTGTTCAGCAACAAGTTCATTTTTTTTAGACAATGTAAGCTTTTGAGGGGCTTTATCAGAGTGTTGCTGCGTCATATAACTAACTGGAAATGCTATTTTTACACAATATTTATTACAAGTATCCCCAGGGATACTGAATTTCAGACAAGTTTTGCTGTGTTATATATCAGTGTGGAATCACAATTAGTAGAAACAATGAATAGTTAAGATGATTATCACTGATGAAAAAGCTCATTTTTATTACCAAGGTAATTTAGTCAGATCAAAGAACAATGCAATAGAAACATGATAGTGAAGTGCATTTAATAACTGCATATTCAGTAGGGAAGCTGAAGCTTAATTTGTCATTCAGTCACAGAGCTAGTAAGACTGATTATCACTCCAATGTCCCCTTACAAAGTGGTGGACCTGGATCCCAATATTCACTACTTCTGGTGCAGTATAGATTTTATTGGTTTTAACCTTTGGTGTAACAAAGAATGTGTGTTCAGATGTGTGTGGTTTGGCCTCTGAACCCTTCTGAACCAAAACATAAGAGAAGAGCTACAGCTGCCAATGATCACAAGGCACTAGCCCTATTGACCATCTTGGACCTTTTGAGTAGGGGTCATCTCTGCTAAAAATGGCCATCTGAAAGTTTGCCAGGTATTTTTACCTAAGCTTCACACATTCACACAGATTCACACAGAGCTAGTAGAGAGAGTTCAGCACTGCCAAAGGTTCTCATCCTCCCCCATTGCCTAAAATGGAGGTCAATGATTCAAGCTCGAAGAAGTAAAAAGATGTAAGACTTCCCACCAGCCCGAGGTTTCTAAATCTGTTCATGCTACAATTCTCCTGCTAATAGTAACGGCATTTTTAATTTTACCAATTATGAATTTATTAATCTTACCATGTTGCTGTTGAGCCCAATCCATAAGGGCTCTCCATACTGTACTGCTTGCAGCAGCAAGAATATATTACTGTAATAATCAAAAATACTGGCAAGCTCTGAAGATTTCTCCTGGCATGCTTTTCTTGCTTCTTCCCAATTCATTTTAGAAGGAATGATTAAATAGCTGCTGTTATCATAATGGACAAAATTGAAATCTGGAGCACTTGTGGGGTGAAACAGTTCAGGCTCTGTAGGAAAGAGGTACAAATTTGAAAGGAAGAGGAGAAAACAGTGAAAATAATTAGTGGCTGGATAGCAGTATTTCTTTTGAGTAGCAGAAGAATATATCATGGCAGCACAAGCATCAAGTAACAGCATTTCTTACATAAAACTAAAGAGATTTATTTTAATGGCAATTTGGAACTATTTTAAACTGTGGTATAAAAACACATTCAGGGATTAGAGAGATGCAGAGCATGAGCTGTGTGTATCTATAGACACAGACTGACTAGATGAAATTATGTGAATACTGGTTCTACCATGATCCTCCCTGCAGAGCTCTCTATGTCCCCCCACCTCAGTGCAGGTGAAGTTTTTCCCAGCCGTGAGCACAGGACAGGATCTTCACACCACTTCAGTCTCAAAATAATTTCTTTCTAAGCAAATTTTATGACTGTGCTGCTGCATCTTTCCCTCGTAGGATGAGGTGAAAAAGGAAACTGTATTTCTACCTATAATTATATACACAGAAGTAGAAGGCAGGGGCCTAGAGCTAGTGATGGGGACAGAAGAAAAAACATAAACTTTGTGTTCAGTCATTGTTGAGGATGCCCTGGAAATTTTTTTTGCTAGTGCCATCCTCATGCAGCTTTCTGCACTTTCATAGGACAGAATCATCTGACCCAGCTGTGGCTTCTTCCTCTATTTTAACTTTCTGTTCAGCAGTTCCCTGTTTTTGTTCCTGCAGACTCTGCAGTGTAGCTGTGCTCCGGATGTGTCTCCCACCCTAAGGCTTCATGAAGAAAACTCGAACTTTTGTCCTTCTGAGTCTTGCTAGAGACTGATGAGAAAGCTTATCAGTTTAATTGGCCTTGGCTAACCCCCAGCTGGAGGTCACTGAGGGATTTATCTTTTTGTATTGTATTTGCAAAATACCTGCATTCAGGACCCTGTATCTCTGATAACTGGGTAAAGCACAGATGACTACAATTTTCTGTTAGTAGAGATAACAGGCGTTTTGAAGGCATAGACCTTCTGGGAACCTGGTTTGGGCTTTTTTATTACGATTAAGAAGGTGAATCCTGTCTTCAAAATGTCTATGTGCCAGGCACCTGATCTAAGTGTGGATGTCTGCAGGGAAGGCAAGGTTGGCTTCTCTGAGTCGTAAGGTTCAGTACATGTTTTGCAACAAGAAAAAAGTGACAAGCGAAGAGACAAGTCAAACTTACCGCTGTCCATCTGGCAAATATAGCTTTTTTTATGCTGGCAGTCACTGTTTTCCCATAATCCTGCATTATCTACAGATCTTTTTGTCATTGAAATACAATCGGTCTAGGGAAAAAATAAAAAATAGAATTGTTGCTGAGAAAGTGCAAAATTTCCAGCAAAATAGTAGAAATAGGTATAAGGAGAAAAAGTTAATAGCTTTCCTTTCTAATTTTCTGGCTCTTTTCATGTATTGCTTGTTGGAAATTAAATGCATTGTATTATATATCTTAAGCAAATGTGTTTTCATTGGCAGATTGCTGCAAGAATTTTTGTCAGATTATTAAAATTCCTTGGAAAGTGTTTAAATTATTTTTACTATGGAGTTAATGGTAATCTGTACTGAATTTTTCAAAGTTTCCTTTGGATTCCTATCATACAAGGAAAAACAATAAACCAGAATAAAAATCACAACTAGTAACACTGGATATTTTCAGTAAAATATAATAATTATAAGAAGTGTAATTAATTCTAGCAGTAAAGATTACTTTTCTGCACTTCTAGACTTTGACAAAGGAATGAGAATAAGCCTGGATTCTAAACAGGCCTATTAATTTCTGAGTACAGCTCTAAAAATTCGATCATTGAAATTTCAGTTCCCGTCTGCTTTAAGCTATTAAAGATCAGATCTTAGCTGAGACAGAAGTCAAGCTGGTGACTCAAATATTGAATATGTCATTTGTTTTATGCATTTTCTGCTTTATTTCTGTTTACCTGTATTGTAACATATTTCCAGTCAACCACTTGGACTATGTCTCTGAATGGGAATCCTCGGGCCCAGTTTGAATAGTCAAAAATGCTTCCATCTGTCCAAAGATATTTACCCTCACTGTTAATGTCATTCAGCCCAATCCATGTTTCGCTGTCAACATCCTTTAGGTGGAAGGTGAGGAAAGCTGATAAGAAACAGGTAAAAAAAATAAAATAAAAATTACCTGGGGAATTTCCTTTCTTCAAATTCCATGTAAATCAAATAACAAATAAAAAAACAACCAAATATCTTCTAAATATACTGGAAATACCAACTTCCAACTTGTTAGGCTATGAGCTAATGATAAAAGAAAAAAATTACATTGGGTAATCAAACTGAAGCAGTTTGATTTCAGGGGAAAAAAAAGCCAGAGGAGAAAAAAAGGAAAACATTTTTTGATAGAAATTATTTAGGTTGCTTGGAAATATTATAGAAATCAGGGCCAGACATGGCTCCATAAGGACTGTCTTTCCCAAGGTAGCACCAACTGCAGATATGTAATTTCTGATCGATGTTTGTTTAATGTCTAACTTGAATATCTATAAGCATTTCATGACAATAAACTTTTACAATATATCACATTTTCCAAGACCATGGGAACAGATTATTCTATTCCTTCCATATAAGACATTTGACAAAACTTGGGAAGCGTCACAATATCTCACTCCAGTCTTCCCTCTGGATCAAACACCTCCAGGTGTTCCTTCACAGGTTATGCTATTTAGGTCTGGAGGTAGGTTCAGCCTCATCACTGGATGGTGAAATATGTGTCTTCATAGATAGATGCTGTAAGGCTCAGATGTCATACCTTGCACTTGATTATTGTGTATAGAGGCCAAATTTCCCCCTAATTCTCTACAAACACTTCTTGCTGAGTGCCAAGTTAGTTTATCTTCTTCACTGGATCCAAATATTTTGTAACACTGTGAAGAGAGTAAAGGATTAGACAGACTTCCAGGTGTCAAAGACTATTAAAACTATTGATTTGGATTAATTCTGTGCTAATCCCTGCATGCAAAGAGCTGCAGATGGGGGATCTGCTAAAACACAAATACTATCAGCCATCAAGGAGACCCAGCCAATCCCAGTGATATGTACACAGTACTAACAATTGTGTGGGGTCACTGCTGGGAAAAAGCAGACAACTGCCAAAAGCTTTTGAAGAATTAAATTACTGAAAAAAGTAGAATTTTTGAGGGACTGGAACTATTTTCTGATAGTGAACATAATTTGAAGCAGGTAAGAATCTCTCAGATCAAGTTTTTTCAATGATATACCACAGATGGAGTGCTAAAACCTCAGCTCATGTGAGAACTCTTGTGACTGGAACAGTGTCAGGAAGAAGTGCCCTTCTGAATGGTGTTTTCCCCAAATACCAATAAAACATATTTTTTGCGTATTTTCTGAGGGACAGAAGACATGGCTCCTTCCTCTTCATGCCCTTTGAATGCATGAAAACTTTTCCTATTGATTTCATTATGGAATTGATTTGTGGTTTTTCCTCTGTTGTTTGTTTGTTGGAGTGTTTTAAAAGTTCATATGTCCAGGTTTTTTTGCTTAACATAGCAGAAAGCAATGCTTGCTTTTCTTTTATATTTGATTTGACATTTATTGCTGTTTGTGTTACTCAGCTTAAGATGAGTTGCTGTGATGGCCAATTACTTATGAAAAGTGTGACCTTTCATTTTTTCATCTCTGTAACTCAGAAAAAGAGAGTTACACTTACAGATAGGGATAGTGAATCAGGATTTCCATGCAGCAAGTATGCCTAAACTAAGCAGAAGCATCTAGAAACTAGAAAAGTAACTATGGCTAAAGGCATACAGACATTACAAAAATTATAATGTCAAACGTTGAAATCTCTCTTTTTAAATATATATTTAACTACAAATTTGCCAACCTGAAAATTCACTGCACTGCTAACTAGCACAGCTCTTAGTAAACTGGTGCTTAAAGAGAGGGAATTTATTTAATGAGACAAAAGGGATAGTTGTTTTCTTCACCTAGAGCAAATCTGATAAATATGGCTGAGATTTATTACTGTACCTTATTGTTAAACAAAAGCCAAGTTTCAGGACATCCTCCCAGAAGTGGAAGTACAGTAGGAGCAAATCCTGAGTAAGTTGAATTGTGCCTTTCACAGATAAAGGCATTTTTCAAAGCACAACTTATGTCTTTCCAAAAGCCTGTAAAGAAAAGGAATACAGATAATCGTTGTAAAGACTACAGAATACAGAAAAACTCTTATACAACCACTACAGCAGTCAGATTCAGATGGCATTCATAAAGCACAAATGAAAGACATTTACCCAAATACACTCCTCCTTCCTCTGCAATATGTTTCTTTCCTAAAAGTGATGGCACAATTTCAAACTTGAGCATGTTACGAAAAAAATGTCAGTATCGTAGAACTACATCTCTGTGGGGTAACCTCCAACTTAAGTATGTACCAAACATTTTGGATTTTGATCCTAAATTTTACGCAAATATTTCTTGTTGCTATTTTACTTACCAAAATCGTTTGACATTATCACACAATTTTCATCATTATTTGCAAAATTGGGTTCATTGGGAGCCCAGGCAACATAATTCACTGGGGTGTCATCCAGCCATCTGGAAGAAACAAGGGGACAGTGGCTGCCAGACATCTCAGCAATCAGTCACAAAGTCTGTTTGGGCAGAGGGCTAAGCAAGGTATTAGCAGTGACCAGAGGGCAAAGGCTCCACATATCCTGGAGAGGACACAGCCACAGCACTATTGCTGCTTCTCATCTGTTCAGTACCACCACATTGGAGGCAGTCTACGGACATTCTTCACATCCCAGAAGGGTTGTCCTCCTGAAAGTCTTCCACAAACCTATTGTTAAAACAAACTTCCTGCCAGAAATCTCAGAAAGTTGTTGGACTCGATGCTGCTTATGCTTCTTGCTTCCAGCTCACATAACTTGAACCATTTGGGATTAATTTGATTTAACCCTTATATATATGTTTTACCAAAACCTCTTGGGCTTTCTCTGTAGCCATTGGAGATCTGGTCAGGGTAAATCTCACCCTTAGGTTACTGTCAAAAGTGGATCAGGTAAACAACATCTTAAAATTAGCTGCTCCTCCTCAATACTTATGCAGGGTTGCGTTCTCGCAGAGTAAGGCATTAAGAGAGCTGTCATAGCCATGAATTTTTATTGGGTTTGTTCTCCCAAATTCAGGAGGCAAATGCAATTCTCTGCTTCAATACAGAAGAATGTAATACTTTGGATCTGAGACATCTCCTGAACACTATCCAGAAGTCAATTGCACAACAGTTTTTAACTTATAAAATGAAAACACACAGAAATGCTCCATGAGTGAGATGAAATTAACATCATTTGTTGTCCATTAACAGTTTTCCTTTACTCACCTGAATCTCTGATCAAAGCTGACAACTAAGCCAATGAAATATGATTTTCCTCTGTGTTTTGTGTACATCTAAAATAAAAGTAATTAATAGTTAAGCACTAAACTGTTCCTCAACGTCAAGCAAAAATCTGAAAGCCAATTAACCATTCCTGTGATTTTTTTTCCTTTATTTTCTTGGAATTTGAGCCTCACATAAAAATAGGTAGGTTGTAGGTTCAGACTCAGGTTTCAAGCAAGAAACAGATATGTGGAACATCCTGGAGTGAGGAACCCACTGGACAGGAAAGCAATTTTCACTGTGCTAAACACTACATGTATTAGAAAAGATAATTAACCTGGGCCTGAACTATCCTTTGCTGCACCTTTAATATTTGCATGCCATTTTCCTCTACCTATCAAAAACAATAGTAATTTTTAACATGTCCTGAACAAATCTATTGCTCTATAAATAAATAATATAGAACAAGCTCAGGACTCCGGTCTTGTTAAATATTTAATATGTTCCCTGTATTTTATCACTTGCTCTGCTTCAAAAGACAGCTGTATTTAATAGGCTTTCTGCTTACATATTGCCACAGAAATCGTCTTTTGCTTTCTTTCTCAATGACAACAAGATCTGCGAAGTTCTTACGACAAATTCTCCGTGCTTCTTCCATGTGGACATGCTCTTTGCTGAAATAGTACTGCTTATTTTCATATATAATCCATCCATCACTGGTGAGTTGATAGTCTGAAAGATAAAGAATCATATATAATATTTTCCCATCTGGTCAATACAAGGTCTGAAAACTATATAGTAATCTTTGTGAAAGAGGAAAAAAAACCTACCAAGTTTGTAGTTTGCTTCAGGCTTTATCAATGTACCTGTAAAATAGAAGATGTCATAAGCAACATCCCAAATTAAAAAAAAACAACAAACAAACAAACAAAATCCTCAAAAGCATGAAAACAAAACAAAACAAAACAAAATCCCAGAGATTTTCTTTATGTAGCTTTACATGTTTCATAAAATAGAGGGAAAAAAACCAAACCCACGAAGCAAACTATGAATTAGCTAATGCATTTACAGTAATGTATATCCAAAAGCACAGTGTTGAAAAATCCAGGATTCACAGTAAATTTGTGATAGATTAAACAAACATTACTCTGAAAATTTATTTTAACATTTTCACTTGACACTCTATGATTAATTATTTTTTGTATTCTTGGGACTAGAGCCAAACAACATAATCCAATCTAGTAAATTCTAAAGTTTACCTACATAGTAATAGGTACTACTACTGTAGGTAGGTGGTATCCACAGGTACTGAAAATTTAATGCTAGTTTATTGCTAATATCAGGTGTAACTTCCAGTGTGTCAATGGATTCTTCCTTTCCTGATGACTTGGCTTTTACTAGAACAATCTGTTTTTAAGATTCCTGGAGAGCCAATGGATATTAAACTCAAATTTCTGATTGCAGGTTCAACCTGGAGGAAGCAAATTTGCTGTTGCTATTGCCAGAGCCAGCTATAGCCTCTCTTTAGAAGCTCTGCTTTCATATGAATGCCTGCTATTTTGTCCTTCTGGACTACTAATTCTCTTAGCTTTCTCCACTCCCACTGTGGTTTGATGGAGAAAAACACAGTATTATAGAAATGAGAGAAAAGAAAAATCAAGTAAATTTTTTTGGGGATCATTTAAACATTTTCTTCTTAAGTATTTAGTGAACAATAGAACTAAAATTATTTCAATGTCCTCATTATTAATTTACATACTTCTGGTCATTTTGATTTTATTGTTTAATCTTAACTGTAGCCTTCATTGTTTTTGTAAAGCTGGAATACATTTTGTAAATATGTGTCTTAAGTGAACATGAAGGAATTCACATCTGATATGTCTTCTCTCATGTTGATCTCCATTCACAATTACAGGATTGACATAATCTCCATTCACTATTACAAGATCAATTTCTCAATTTTTTTCTTGCTTTTGAAAGATCATCTAGGATCAAATTAAACTGATCAGAGTCGTTGTGTCATGGTTTCTGAGCTCCTCCTGCGTAATCTCACCAAGAGCAGAGAGACCTGTCCATACAAAGCAGCATGCTCAGTGTGCCAGAAAGGGCTGCACAGGATGTGCTGCTTTGAGCTGGTATGCAGAAATCAGAGCTTGGATGGTGCATTTTTGTGACTAATTTACCAAAAGGAAACAGTGATTCTTCCTTTTTGGTTAAGCAATTTTTCAGTGTTACCATGGTGCCTTATTCACCCTTCAAGGGTTTTGTTGGCAGAGTCATCAAATATTAGATTCACTCAGTGTTTTTATGTAACTGCTTATCCCTTCCCCTTCCTATTGTGCCTCCTAGTACTTCCCTGTGTGCATCCAACTTTCTTTCATTTTGAGAAGGTTTTAAAAATCTCTTTCTCCATGGAGAGGAGTACAAACATTCAGTTTACAACCAGGAAGTGGGGATGTAGAAGTAGGACTGAGTAAGTTCTTTCATTATCAGCTGTCACTTGAGGTCTTCATCCCAGACAGACCCCATTTTCTCTCCTGCTGGTGGGTACCCCAACATCTGTCAGGTCCATTTTGTGAGCCTGGCACCAGGTGGGGGAGTTTTGGTACTGGGGCCCTGCTTTCCAGGCAAAGTTGGTGGATGCAGGACTCCATCACAGTTACACCAGTAACTCCACTTTCGATCAGATTGGGTTTTCAGAGTTGCTGGTTCCTATAGCAACTGATGATCTCTTGGTTGCCATTAGTTGTTTCACACTGGGAGGCAAAGTTTTTTCACTTTTGTAGAGAGAGCTCTAGCATCCTGCATCTACAGCTACCTGGGGTAAGCCTGAAGCAGATATAAATAGAAGGAACAGATAATAGGAGAAGGGATAAGTACCTTTGCTTCCCAAGTTTATTCAACCCATGGCAGAAAGATATACAACTAGAGATGAAGTAATAGGGACACCCTAACTTCCTACATCCAAGGACAAGAGAAATATTTCAATTCATTCCCCATGCTTTATGTGTTGCCTTCACTGCAGCTGGTTGTAAAATGAACAATTCCCAGTGTCTTTCTTCCTTTTGATTTGTTTAAATCCATAAAATTTGCTTTTCAAGCTTAAGTTTATTGCTCCATATAAATGGGAAGGTAATAATACCTTTTTTTGTTTCACAAATCCAATTAAGTAAATGGTCACAGCGCAAGTCGTTCCAGTGCATTTTGGGTGATCTATTGAACATAACACAATGTTCAAGTTCTTCATAGTTGTTGGGTTCATTTTCCTCCCAATTCTCATAAATTACCTGTGTTGGAAATACATATCAATTACTGTGTGCTCCGAGCTGAATAGGAGTAATTGAGATTGCCATGGTGACACTATTTCAGTATCTCATCATCTCAAGTACCTTTCTTACAGGATCAATAGGAGTTCAAGCAGACCTGAGATGGCTGTGAAGGTCATGCTGGTCAGGTTACTTTCCCCACCACTCCCTGAAGAAGGAGCAGAGACTACATGGTGTAGAAACCATGTGTTTGATAAGAGAAATACTGAGGGGCAGAGGGAGTCACATCTATCTTGTTTTGTGAAAGTTGGCAACTGGACTTCCCTGTACTGCCGTAGAGCAGTGCCCATTTTGGGATGCTGTGAAGGTATAAAGTCACAGACTGTGGAAGGTAGGATATAACGTGGTGCCAGGGATGAAACACAAGCAATGTTGTGTTAAGACAGTTCCCTGCAGCTTATATATATATTCTAAAGTATGTATTTTCTAAAAGACAAAATGTCAATTAATGTCCAGCAATAAATACTCACAGGGGAGCCATCAATCCAGGCAAAACCTTCATCAGGATTTAAGAGAAACAAACCGATCCAGAAAGCCTGAGTGTTCAGTCCTTTATCCCTAGAATAATTCATACAATATAGATTTATAAGCATAGAAAGAGAGACCAGAATATAAATCCTGATAAGCACAGAAATATCCTGCTTTCTGTCACACCTGAATCGGGAGCTGTGGCCCAAGGCCAAGCTCACTCCCTGCACTCTGTTAGAGAGTTGATAGTCTCTGTGTTGGGCTAAGACTTCTCATTTAAAAATAAGTTAAAATGATGTGGCTTAGAGCCAGCTCAGGCTCCCATCCTTGTGGACGCAGCACAGCTCTTGGTTGTAGTATGAGCTCAAAAACAGAGGCTTTCACAAAACTAAAGCATAAATAGATGTTTATTTAACTAATAAAAATAGTGAAAATTGATTTTCAACTGTTTTCATTTGCTTGATAGCACTTCCTATGTCATTTAGTTAATATTTAATGTGATTTATCTTGTTGTGCCTATGTACCAAGTAAAATTACTATTTCAGTCACTGCATCACACAAAGATTTCCTTCCACAAATATTTTATACTCTAAAGCAAAGAGACTTAACAGACAAATAAAATCACATTCAGGTGATCACAATACTGAAATATATTTAAAAGTAAGAAGAGTGAGGTCACAAAAACTTCTCATTAGGAAAGTTTTAAATCTGTTCCAGAAAATAAACCTCAAGTCTGCACTATGTGAAACAGTTTTGGTTAAAGAGCTATATATTATGTGTCATTGGCATGCCTTGACATTATGGAATACAATCAGAATATTGGTCTAATTTGAGGGGAAAATAATGTCAGTTATCACACATCATAAAAAAGACATAGGATCTACAATGCTATCAAAGGTTAATTAAAATTAATTACTCTTTGATTTCAGGATTCTTCACTTTTTACTCAGAAAAACTTCACATTAAGTCCTTGAATTTTGCTTTACATTACACAGTAACTCAAGGGATTTTTGAATGAGCTGGTTAAAGAAGAATTGCAGGCAGTTACAAAATGCCAGTTAGAGCTGAATATTTTATTTTCTCCCTTTAGGGAGAGGGACTAACATGTTAGAAATTGATAAGATCTGGAAAACAGCCTTGCTAGAACTTGTGATGAAAATTACCAAAATATTAAGCTTCTTTTTTTAAAAAAAAAAAAAAAAAATAGCAGTGTTACAGGATGCTATTTCCCAAAGGAAATCCTGTATCTATGTAATTTAAATTTGGTTGTTTTTACTCACCCACTTGTTCTGCCCCTGATATGTTTTAAGTAATTTCTATTTAACATAGCAGGAACATAAAAAATAATCCTTATGCAAGTACTCACGAAGCTAATTGCCATAATAAAATTTGGTCTTCTCTTGTATTGATTGTGACCAGATTTCCACCTATTTCTCTACAGAATTCTTCAGCTTCAAACCAAGACTTCTTTTGGTTTCCCTCTCTCACAAAAAACTGTTGAGAACAAAAATTAAAAATAAATTGCTAAGTTTGTAAACTTACAGAATATATGTAATTCAAATCACATCATTTTGGCACCCCTTTATTCTTGAGTGAGACAACATGACACCTGTCCAAGCCTCTAATATTAAACATTAAGAATGTGAAGTGTAAATAATTTTTTCATAGCATCATCTATTTTAAAATAAAGCAAAATTAGTAGAGGCATCTGAGGAGAACAAAAGGTATCAGAATGTGCTGAGGAGAGAAAACTACTCTGTAACTTAATTGGAATTTTGTCCACTGAAAGGCTGAAAAAAAGATGGAAAAACTGAACCATGGCATTTGCAGTAGAAAGCAGGCGATTTTTGAGAAAAGGAAGGGGAAGGGTAGGTCAGTGAGTTGGAGGAGAAAAGACAAATAGCAGAAAGCTGTTTGGACAAGTGTGGACCCCAGCTGAGGAAGAGGTTTTTGTATTGAGGTGCAAGCATACAAGTACAAAACACGCTTTCTGCCATGAAGAACATACATTCTTGGACTAAGGATATGTTTAACAGGACTAAATGCTTGACATTTTATGGAAATGACAATTAAAATTTTGGTAAATGGCCAATATAATGATAATTACATATGACATGGAAGCTCTGACCCTTGTAAATACAGGAATAAAATCAGCTCTGGTTTCCCAACAGGCAGAGGGTCTCAGGAAAGCAAGTGAGAGCAAACTTTATATGAAGACATAGAAAAACAAGGCTGCATATTTATTTACTTGATCTATATTGTCTTTTATTTCCTTTTTCCCTTTGCAAAAGAGAGAGCTGTATAAGGCATTTTTAGCTAAATCAAGAGAATGCTCAAAAGTTTTACTTGCTGAAGAGTCTCCGACTAAACCCAGATCCAAAAGTATTGCTGCGAGTACCACATGCTGTATGAGAAAAGGTTGGCATGGGCATGGTTTCTCTCAGAAACACTGAAACATTGTCTTATGCAAATGACACTGCCAACTCTTGAGATGTAATACTGTTTTTCCTGAAGTTCCAAACCCCTGGAAGCAAATAAATTAGGTGAGGTTCTCACCTGGCATTTACATAAAATAAAGCATAGTTCTAGCACTTTGTGTTCATCGTTTTCCATTGCTGACTTTCATTACACTTGATGGATTTTTTTTCCCCCCATGCGTTCTTGCCTTGAATACCAAAGAGAAGATCATTCCCAAAAAATGCCGCAGCATCTTGGTGACCAGGGCACTGTCCCCTGGTCTGCCCCACGCTGAGGCTCCCAGTGAGGGTGGACACACACTTACTTTGAGGCATGAGTCTGCCTGGGCGGCTCTGTCCCAGCCTTCGGCACACGTGGCCACAGGGACCTGTTCTGGAGGAGCAGGAGGTGGCACTCCTGCTGCCCGCTGTTTGCAGAGATAATTTGATGTCTTCTCACAGCTAACGACATCCCATAATCCAGCTGCAATTCCAGTTCCCATGACAACACAGCCTCGCTCTTTCACTTGGAGATGTGGAAAAGAAAGTAGTAAAAACTAAAACGTTAATTGCTGTCTAAGGAATGAGACCTTTACTTTTATTCATTGAAAATTAGGAAAAGAAAGGTGCAGATTATGCAGATTAAAAAATATCCTGGCTATAAAACTAGTTTTAATACCACCTGTCAGAGGCCACATATGGGTCAATGAGTGCCAGTAACACAGCTTTACCAAAACCAGAGATTTGCAAGTTCAGAAAACAAAACTTCCTTATCTTGACACCCCAGGGAAATCACAGGGAAAATAGCTCTTGATTATTTTTACATAACAAATGACCTGACAAGTACTGTGGAGTTCTCAATATCCTGGTAACTCAATTTTGAGAAGGGTGATGTCAAGCACAACAGGTTTGAGTGCAGCTGCACTCCTGTTGAAGGGGTTGAGCCCATGCACAGCTTACCTGGCATGGCTGTGTTCCAGTGTGTGAACTGAGGAGTTTCTCCATTGGTCCACCTGAAACTCCCTCCTTCTTCTGTGTCAGAGAGACCAATCCAAAAATATTTTTCAGACCTCAGCCCCGTCAGACTAATCAGAAATGTTTGTTCATTTCTGCAGTGGGAAACAGTGTTCATTCACAGCCTGTTAGTGTATAATATTAATCTAAGTGACACAATCAGAGGAGTGTTAACATGACCCCAAAACAACAGCTCCTCAGTGAAGTTCAGCAAAAACCCTGGTAGTCTTTAAACCTCAGTCAAAAGAATTTCATGTGGGACAACTTTCTCCTTTCAGCTGAAGGAATCTGAAAGTCACAAATTGCTGTTCACATGGGCTTCTAGTTGTATTCTACTCTTTCCACTGTCTTTCCAAATCTTTGAGGTGCCTCAAACAGACCACCAAGACAGGACCAAGCCGTCAGCTTTGCTACCCATCGCCTCTGAAGGCTGGCATGTTCCTCAGGGGCCATGAAGCCTCTGAAGCCTGACAGTGATGTAGGCAGATTAGAGATGATAAATTCTGGCTGTCAGAAGGCAGGTTCTGGGGAAAATTTCCTACATTTGTTCAGAATTTGGCTTAGAAGGTAGTTTAGGAAAATATTTTTATTAAAGCTTTCTGTGATAATGAGAGACCAGCTGTCAATAAGTAGATGAAAATTGTACTTACTGTCCAACAGAAAATAATCCCAGCAAACCCAAACACATGAAAAAGAAAACAAAAAACTCCACCAAAGCCAGCAGTTTCCTTAATTAAAAATTGAAAGAGGAAACGGTGTAACTCAAGAAGCCCCCAAATTTTAAAATTTCTATAATGGATTAAGTAGATAGCCCTACAACATGGAGGTGTGTGTTTTGGGTTTATTTTTCCTGCATGGATAGTCTTTGCATGCCTTGCTACAATAAAATTTTTTGAAAAGTGCTGATAAAACATTTTGATGGGTTCAAAAAATGGAAAAGTTTTGCAAGTTTCTACATTAAAACACTGATTTTATAAAAAGTTATTTTCCCACCTGCTTTCCACTGTTGCTAGATAAGCTTTGCTCTGTTCACATGTCTTATTTGCTTCTGAGAATGTCAAAAGTGCAGAACCCACCAAGTAACAGTGAAAACCATATCTTTTCCAACCCTGTGACAAACATAAGATTTTTAATGTGTAATGGAAAGAGACTTCAATGTAAAAATTTCTTCACTCTTTTGTGTATAAATATTCAATGCTCAATTTGTTACAGCTTAGTTTAAAACTAAAATGAGACTGGGCTGACCTTTAATAAATAAAATCAATTTTCTTATTCTGTTCACTCTTACAGGAAGCCTTTTTGTTTAAGGGATGACATTCATATCTTAGTTTTCATCTCTTTTATGCATACATGACTTTTCAAAGAAAATTGTGACTGCTACCTGCTGTGGCTTCCCAGTGCTCTGTAAGGTTGGGATTATGCAAACTGAGTCCATAAAGAGTCTGTGGTTCATTCAGGGGGACCTGCAGCTGCAGCTTTCCAGAGCTGCACAATCAGACATCACAAATATTGAAATATTGCAAAATATTGCAGACCAGAAATGAATTCACATACAAGCACAAAGCTTCCCCTGTCACTCCCAAGTACAAGGAGTGAAGAGATTTTCTGAGCCAAGAGGAATTCAGGATTCAGATTGTTTTCAGGGAGAGCTGAAAGGAAGAGTATCAGTAACACAACTCCACTTCTTCCTGCTCTTACAATGCAATACAGACACCATGGTTTTCTGAATCACAGGTTGGCTCATCTGGGAATGGAGGGCAGGGCAGTATTCACGCACATGTAAATGAATCTCAACTTCCTTGAAAATTTTCAGAACAAAAATTTAAAATGCACATGTATTAGTAAACTGCTTGCGGAAGAGACCAGCGTTCCTCAGCAGTGGGTTTTCTATAATATACAAAGACAGTATCCAAAAGAAGCAAGAACTAGTAAATTACTTCCTGTACATTTCTTCGAAGATTATTATTTATGAGAGAGCATTTACTTTCTGGCAGCCTGGGTCTTCAATTATCTCTTTTTCAGAGGATTGTGATGAAGGCTTCTTTTTACAGATGTAACCAAGTTGCTTATAACAAACATCAGTTGCCCAGTATCCATCCTAGAATAGCAGGGAGAAAGAACAAATGTCAAGAAAGGGCACACATAAGCACAGCTAGTGTTTCTCTTTCTTCACAGGGCCAACTGGAGATTTATTAAAAAGTATTAGACACATCTGTAAGTACTAGTTTAAGATCTACTTAATGCTGGTTTGAGGTGAAAGAAGGAAATTAACATTTTGAAGTCTCTATATTACTTCTTATCATAACTTTTAAATGAAAGGATTTGTAAAGATCCATCTCATCTGGGGCTGATAGGATCTGCTTTTGGAGAAGGATTATTTCAATACACTGCTGGAAAAAAGATGAATTAAATCGAACATCTGATAGTGTTGCAGTAAATCTAACTATTTTATCCATCAAAGAATCTGAATGTGACTGACTACTTTAAAAAAAATACAGCCTATTTAAGTAGAACTTTCTCCTAATCCCCCCATGAAATCTAGTTTGGGGTCAATTCTTTTGGTGCCTAACACTGGCAAACATTAACATTATTCTATGACATAAAAGTTCTCTCAATAACAGCATGGATTTCATACCAACATTTTCAATTTTTTTCTTTCAAAATTCGTGACATTTTTTGTATTTGCATACACAAAAAATGCACATGAAGGTAAATGTATCAAACCATCCTGCCTTGCAAGAAAACAAAGTTTGTGAGTCAAGCAGTCAGAAATACTATAGAACTTGATACTATTTTTTTGGAAGGTAGATGACAGCTGAAGAAACATGCCTAGTGCCAGCTCTCTGTGCCTCAATGTCATGTCTCAGTGACGTGACACTGAGGGACAAAATTGTCTATCTGACTGGAATATGAGGTATGCAAATAGCACCTATGGTACCCACATATGATATTAACTAGTTCATCCCTATTCTTCTCCCAGAGCTTAAACTTTTGCTTTTCTGAAACCAAGGGAAAGAATTTAATGTAAAATTTCTGGATCAGAATTTCCACCAGACAAGGAATTTCAGAAGGGGGTACTAAGAAAATGCTTCCTCTCCTTCTGATGTCTCCTGACGCCTGAACTTGTCTTCTGGTCGGTTGATACCAAATTTTGGGCCAAAAGTATTTCTAGGTGATATAAAGGATGATACCCAAATAAGCACATGAGTAATTGATTTTGGGTTGATGCAGTTAGTAATTTGCAGTGCTGTAAAATGAGTGCATGTTATACCTGCCCCTTCATAGCTACGCACTCCTCCTGACCACTCGTGTGGATGGGATGCCTGCGCTGCCATTTGGTGAACGTCACAGGAGTCCCGTCACTCCACTCAAAGTAGAAGTGAACCTTCAGGTCATTCAGACCCAGCCACAGCTCTTCTGTTGGCTCTGAAGCATGACAAGAAAGAGGTTTTGTTACTCTCCACTGTGCAGTGAATGTTTCCACATGCAGAACCAGCAGGGACTGATATATTTGGACACAAGATTGTGCTTTTATAAAAATGCTGTTCACTCTCAGATCTCTATAAGATATATATGGTGGAAAAATCTTCAGATTGCTTTCAGAAATGCTGATTTTAATGAACATAAGGCTCTTTACACCAGGCAGAAGATTTTTGCAAACTTTCTGTGTTTCAGAGCAACAAAATGGTCCTGAGCATGAAGACACTGAATGGCTGTGGGTGTCCCATCTCTCAAGAGATCATACTGAGTCCAAGCCATGAGGACACCTGTCAGCACTAGAGGAGTGGTGCTGGCCCATCAGGTGTGTTCACCAAGGCCAGCATCTGCAGTGTCAGGACTGGTTACCGATCCAAGGAGCATCAGAAGTGAAAAGATATTGTTTTCTTAGAAGGATAGATAGCAAGAGGTTAGCGTCAGCAAGAGGTTTGAATCTCAACAAGAAGCTTATCTTCTAGGTTTGAAGCTCAGTTCTAAAGCCTTGTACATAGAATATAGGTGCCAAAAGTGCAATTAGAGATCTTTATGTGTCTCTGGGAAGAATACCTTTTTTTGTTTTCTTCCCCTCCTTTATAAGGTTTTACAATGTGGATTACGTCTTAATAAACATAGATATAGTTCTGTATTTATGCAGCAGCAACAACATTAAAGAGCATGGTAAGTTGAATTCAGGCTTTCACTAGTGATATTTCAGAGAAAGCATTAATATTTAATCTGAAGTTCAGCTTTTATGTCACAGATGGAACAAATGAAATATGGGCCTACATATATACTCACTGTAACCAAGCTGTGACACTAGAAAGCTGAATTCTGCAATGTTGTGGATGCTTGCCAAATCTCCATCTTGCTTTTTACATGAATACAGAGCATCTTCCCATGTTTTGGGGTCCCGGTGAATGCTGTAGCAGTGACCTGTGTATGGCCACCAGCCATCTGTGCACTGAACAGGCCTCAATTCCCCTAAAATCAGAACACAATTTTTCAGAACAAGAGGAAAATAAAGGACATTAGAATGAGATCTCTTGAGTACTCTTTACAAAAATGGGACTATATGAATAAACATAAAGCTGTAGCTGGAAATGCAAAGTACATTCAAATTAAAAGCAAATATCATTAAGGCACAGGATGCTAAACATGTAAATAGAATTAATTCTCCTTAAAAAGAGAACCACTGAAAAATGCCCACATTGTGTCAGAAATGCAATTTGAAATAATGATCAGTGAGAAAAGAGAGAACAAAGCAGACATCAGCCTCTCCTCTGTCCCCCAGCACCACTTGGTCTTCTCCTGGCTTTGGTGACTCACGTTGTCTCTGCCTGCTGGTCTATGGTTTCTCACAAACATATTTTTTAGGTATGGAAAAGCATGAAGCAGTTGACAACTGCAGATCAGTAAACATTGTAAATCAGTGGGGACTATTAGTATCCTCTCAGTGGCTTTTTTATAACTTAAATTCTTAAAACTTACCTTGGTCTTGCTTTAAAAATAGAATCCTGCATTTCTTTTTAAGGTTAATACTGGAATAAAGATTCTCTGAATTTATTTCTCTACTTTGTTTAGTATAACTCATTCTTTAAAAGTAGATTTTACAACAGCCCCAGGTGACAGCCTCCAGTGGGCCCCTCTTGCGTGGGGCATGTTCGCAGTGCTGGTGTGTTGGGTGGCCCATGGGTGCAACGAGGTCTGTGTCAGTGTTGTTGCTGCTCTTGCTCTGCTCATATGAAACCAAAGCAATGCAAACTGCAGACATCAGACAGAGGAGGACTTTTCTCATGAATATACGAGTAACTTCAGTTATTCACTTGAAGCAAGTGAGAATAATATTTCTACCATATTTATGCAAATTTACTTTTTGGCGCTGGTTACCATGACAGAGTATCTACAATTTGTCTCACAAGAATGAATGATAGAGTGATGGAACAAAATAGTAATATTTTCCTATGAATGTTTAATACCCAAAGGGAGAAAAAAGGCAGCATATAAAAGTCTGTGTGTGTCATGTATAGCTGTATTTTTCGAAGGTTTCTAATGTCTTTGTTGAAAAATGATGTTTCATACAAGTTCCTCTTTCTAGAAGTCATAAAAGACTTTATTTTGATTTAACTAACCTACCTTTGGGCATAATGTCAGGCTTTGAACTGAAGGATCCTTTTTTACAAATGTAGCCTAGTCTGTGGTTGCATGCTTGGTTTTCCCATTTAGCATTCTTTCTTGGATTCAACAGCCCACAGATTTTCCCAGGGAGCAGGAAAGGACTTCCTTTAAGTAAGAGAGAAAATAGAATCTCACAGCAAGAAATTAATAAAAAATATTAACAGAAGCATCACATTAATAGTGGAAAAATCTGCTTTTTATGATTCCTTGAATCACTAATAGGAAAAAGCCCTTCCCTACGGGATAACTGCCTTGAAGTTTATAGGATGCTACATTTAGTCAATACACTGGGAGTGAAATAATGACCCTACACTGACTTTATTATCAGGATAGTATTGGGAAATGTCTAATTCTTTTCCTGATACTCTGGTTATTACAGGAAGAACTGAAGAAACTGGACTTTTATCTTGTGTCAAAAACTTCCAAACTTTAGAATATTGAGCTTTAAGTTATATTATCCTTCCAGTATATTTTAAGAGTTTCACAGTTCTGCTTTCCTATGAAATAGCTTTTTTCTTTTCTGTTGCAGCGTGCACCTCTGTAAGCAGCAAAGGAAATTTCCTGATACAGTTTTTGAAAACCATAGAAGAGAGTTTAATTTTTCCTTTGACACCCTGCAACTTTTCCAAAGCAGGAGACAGCTTGGGATACTCATGGCACAAAGCAAACACAGAACCAAAAATAAACTCCAAGAAGCAAGGAGAAGAACTCGCCCTGTATGAGGAACATCACAAACCCACCCCATTTCCCTTCCTGGAGTGGCCCAGTGGAATTTCACATAAACTGTTGAGGAATTACAAACTGGCTCCCTAAGCTCCTCAGTGTTTAGAATTTTTCCAAACAACATAGTGTCATTGTTTGCTGAATATTTTGCTACCTTTGGAAGATTTGACTTGTATTCACACTTGCAGACAACATGTTAAGGAAAATTCTGATCTTTGATGTGTAGGGTTATGTATCACTCCAAATGACACCCTTTTGCATAAACAAGCTCTCTGTTTAGATAAGGAAATAGAATATGCTATAACTGATATCCACTGTGAACTCTGTAGTTTGAAAGTGTTAGTCTTAAAATGGGGATCTAGATCTTGAGCTGCTGTAAATCAGATTGGGCTTTCCTGAAATAAAGTTAGCTAGTGCAGTTTTTATTAGTTGGTGTCTTATCAGAATTAATTCAAAGATTATAAAACAGATACATCTCTTACCTGGAGCCCAGTTTAAATATCTGAAAGGGCTTTCCCCAGCCCATTGCCATCCACTGTTGAAATCCAAAGCATTCAATCCAATCCAGAAGGGAAAACCAAATTCTTTAGTTAGCTCTAAATTAGAAAAAAAAATAAAAATCCCTCAGTTGTATCTCCCTATTCTTATTCATAGTAAGATCATCCAAATGAAATTAAGTGAAAAGTAAGAAATCTGTATTTCTTAGTTTAAACCACCCCCAAACAAGTGCTTTCTGCATTACTGAGATGCACTGATAGCAAAAATCATCTGTAAATGATTTACCAGAGTTAGTAGGGCAAATTAACATCTTATTTCACTATTGAAATAAAATTCTATTTTACTCATTTGTTTTCATTAGAACATAAGACATGTAAAAAAGCTCTAATTTTCATAAAGGAATTTTGCTAAAGGTTTCCTGTGACAGATTTCATTGAGTAAAATAAAAAAAAATCATGTGTCACTAAATTTTTTCCAGCTTTTTTTTTCTTATGGGGATTTTTTCAAAGCCTCCTTTACATTCCCTATAACCAAACAGATGCCATGATACCTGTATCTGAAGTTCACTGGAGTTATTTTGATTTTATGTGTGCAAACATAACTATATTAGGACCAATCCAACCAATTGCCATATGTTCTCCTGAAAATATTAATAATCCTTGAAACACAGTGGAGAAATGTAAAGTAGAGGACCAACCCATAGCCCTGGTCTGGAATGAGTGCCCTTGCACAAAGGTGAGCAGAGGAAACCCTTCCCCTGGACAGACTGCAGCAGCTCCCTTCTGGAGCACAGTGCTGGCATGGGGACACTTCCCTCCCAAAGAGGTTTGTGACCAATGCTTCATAAAAAACCCCCAGGCAGTGGAAGGGCAGCTCACACCATCCCCTTTTGGTGGGGAACCAACCACCCAAACCACCCCTGCCACCCTGCCCTCTTCCTTCACTGAGGCAGACAAGGCAGCCAACTTCATCTCAGCATATTTTAAGGTCTTGTTCTCTATCCTTTTACCTCCTATATATGCTTGTTCATGAGTCCCTGTAATGCTTAGCAGTTCTGCATTTTGCTGCTGACAGCTTTTCCTTGCTTGGTGCCATGTTAGAGCTGATTCTGAGTTTATCTGATAGTGAGTGCCGGTTGAAACATCTTCTGTCCAAAATTTTTCTGTGTCGTCTGGAAGAAGTGACAAAGAGCAGTGTTCTAGTGGACTCACATATACCAACTAAAAGAACACAAAGTGTTTAATAATGCAAAATCTCTAAAGATGCGCACAACGCATCAGAAAAAAAAGTGAAATAACTCTAGGCATCATATTAGAAAAATGCATAATTTTTTTTTAAATTAAAAATGCTATTTTAAATTTTCTATGTTTTTAGAAAGGAGTGAATTGTTTCCCAATATTTGCCTTTGAATTTTCTCGTACTGAAAATGCAGTTCTGGGTAAACCAAACATATCTATTGATTGAAATAAAGAGATTTCAGAGTGAAGTTAAAGGAGAAAAGCAAATATGTAGGTGAACTATGACCCTGGATGCTCTTCATACCTGATGGGTAGGAACTACCTCTTAGCTCTCCTTCAAGAGCAGCAGTTTTTCCAAAAATGACAGAACGTGGCCTTTGACAACTTGAGAAACAATAAAAGAAGTCTGTGTAGCAGCAATGTACAGCTCAGCTGCTGTCTTTGCAGAGCAACTCACAATGCTTGGGGAAACTGCTGTGCTATTGGGAAGGCCACTGGTGAGAACAATACTTGTGTCTTGAACTGGAAGGATCCAAACATAAGTTCAGTGCCAGAGACAGAACAAAGTTGGGAGGGGAGGATAATTCTCACAACAGCATTTTTGTGTAGGCTGGCAATAGGAAACTAGAACAAGGTAGAAAATTCAAGGGGAAAAAATTAGAAAATGGCAGTTTAAGTGAGAATTTACTTACTTATAAGGAATGTCTGAGGAACAGGAATTTTTGAAAGGAAGATGAATGTCTAAATAATAAGATAGATGTATAAATCCTTGCAGTTCATGCCATGCACTTAAGTCCCATAAGAAACCCTGGTTCACAAAGAGAAACAGTCACCTCCAGCATTACAGGCAGAACCTTTCTGGGCTGAACCACGCTTTGGTGGCACCTCTTGCTCTCCATTCACTACAGAGAGAGCTCTTGGCCATTGGGACTAGTGTCCAGCCAGGTGACTTTCATTTGGGCTACCCTAACAAGGTCAGGCAGGCAGGTGTGCAGCTGGTAGCTCATAAAAAAACCTGGTAGCTCAAGAGATGGTTTTCTCAACAGTATTTCATGACAAGTTAATAAATAAAAGGCAAGACTTACTTATTAGTGGGCAAAACCCGTACAGTTCATCAGCATCAAAATCTGCAGTTGTTGCACACCAGAGGAGCCCATCTGACCTGCCAGCATCTGTGCACTCATTGTACTGCTTCTCTTTGTATTTGAAAGGGAACACACAAGGTTGTCCATTGGCATTTCCTCTTAATGTAAAAGTAACTAGGGGGGAAAAAAGTGTTAAAGGACATTAAGATAATAATAAGATCATATATCTAACTTTCTATTAATGGATCTATCTATTATATATTTGTCTATCTAAATGAGAAGTTATGCAATCTTTTAAAATTTATTTTAATTCTAATTTCCTCCATAGTGTAGCTACAGATTTTAAATAAAAATGTTTTAATAAAATGAGAAGTTTAAATACTGTGATTAGAATTTGGTATATATACACTGTAGGCAAGTCAAATTCTGTGATGGAAAGTTGGTGATACATTGTAGCTCCTGAAGAGAGAAAAACTACAAGAACTGAAAAAAACCAGTGAATTCACTGCATTTTTGTTTTCTGCACAGCTCAATAAGTTTACTTTATTTTCTTGATTAGTCTGTCTATAACCAATCTTTTATCCCATCTATTCCTCAACTGCTGAGAGAAAAAGGGTGGCTGACCAGAGAAAATACAGACCAGATTGTCATGAGCATATTTACACAGTGAAAATTTTAGGTTTCAGTAGCACATTTCTCCACTTGGAGAAGTCTTTCAGATTAATCCTGAACACAAATTCTTTAAGGTTAGCAGTGCTTCATATTTTTAAACTATTACATTATGATGGGAATGTTCTTTTATCCTGAAATTTCTGACATTGACTCAGTCTCACATTCATGCAAAGTGGTTCCTCCACTCAGTTCTCCACACATTACTGCTTTACCATTTCTCCCTGTAACTAATCCCAATGAATGAAAAACATCTTCAGAGTAGAATTGTTCTTCTAATTTGGTGAGGCTGAAGGGGAGGAGCCAGTTCATCCTTCTCATACCTCATGCCACAGGGCAGCAGAAAGAGAAACTCACACAGCTGTCACGTAAATATGGAAATCCCTCTGCTGATCACCACACCATGGGTGCAATGAGGAAGGTAAGTTGAAAGAGTTCCATGCTCCTTCATCATTCATTTCCCTCCCACACACTGCCACCTGATTTAATATTGCCACAGGAAGAAATTCCAGTTTAAAGATCCTTCTTTTATTACCTCAATTTTTCCATCATCCCTAAACACCCCCTGCTTTTATCCTGTGAATCAAGAACTGCCAGGGTACTTAACATACTCTTTTGATCATGTATCAAATCTGATAAAACATACAAAATAATCAATCTATGCATTAAAACTGTAAAGCTACCCAAGGTAAAGCATTCTCATGTCTAGTTTAATACAAAACTAACAGGTAACTTACCTGATGACTGTAGTGAACATTGTATGAGGGAAAGGAAAACTAGAAACCTGGAGAAACTCATTGCAAATGTAACTTGCTTCTCATTCTTCTACCAAAAGTTGGATTAGAAGATTGGCAATATATAAAAATCCTTCTCTCTGTAGATAGTAATGGGTCCTTCTCTGTGACAACGGGTTGATGGATAAAGCTCTGCACTCTAAATAAGGAAATGTCCTGTCACATGGTATTTTGAAATAACTGGAGTGCACACTGTAAACACTGCTGTCTTTGAAGAGCAAGTCCCTTCCAAAACTGAAGCCTCCAACCTTGTAACTAGAGGTGGAGACAATTGTCGCTTCTGTGACATTGCTAATATCTAATATTAGTACAGGTTAGTTGTTGGGGTGCTACGCTGGACAGACCTGGAAAAGCAACTTGAGACCTGGGGACAAGAAACCCACAGTGAAACATCATCAATTAAAAATCTCAGTTTTAACCCTTACATCTCAGAAACAAGCAGAAGCAAAATCCCAGTGGTTCAATACATTGCAATAATGTCACAGCATTGTGTATGTAGAAGAAAGAGAGCAAACCATACAGAAACAGAAACTTTACAGTTTTCAGTGCATGATGTGTTCTTGCTCACTTTGAGGGAAGCATAGCATCATTATGCTGGTTTGTTTGATCCCAGTTTGGGGCTGGGCTGTTCATAATTGCTTGTCAAAGACCTGGAAAAAGTGAAAATGTTCAACACTGTAGTCTAGTGTAAGCTTCCCTATAACAGAAAGGAAACTTTTTCCTGGAGTACTTTAATCTTTACCAAGTAGAAGGATGTGTTTATCTACCTGAGAAATTCCTAAGGATGCTGTTTCAGGACAAAGCTGAAGACAAGCTAAGTTGGAAAAACTCCTTTTAACCTATGAGCAAAGTGCTCATCTGAAGACTTGTATTGGCATGGCAGTTTTTGTACAAATATGCTGCTAAGTCCTACCGCAAATGTTCACAAGTCCTGCTATTCATTTTGTTTGTTTACATCAGTGAAATTAAAAGAAGTTGTGATAATGAAATTGGAAAAATCAAGAAGTGAAATAGCCAGTAGTGAGATATAAATAGAAACTGAAGAGTGGATGTCATAGGAGGAGCAGGTATCATTGCTCTGACAAGGGAAATCCTAAGGGAAAATACCTGGAGGACACAATTCCTGCCCAGTTCTCTCATTTGCCTCACTAAATGCCAGCCTGGATCTAGTCCAAACTGGGCTTTCTCCTCCCTCTCATGTGAATGGATGCTTGTGAGGATTAGTCCAGGGCTACAGTGATGGGGAAAGATTAATGCAGACACTAGGGAAGGCTAAAAAGGAATTGAGTACTTCAGAGCTCTCCCTTTGGCATGACCAACCAGCTTCATGCCACCTGCAAATTTCTGGGGGCAGTTTCCAGTCTGCTGCTTAACACTTGGCGCAGTAACCTGTTCTCAGCAGTAATGCTTACTACACTCTTGATTGTATTTACACCAAGAAAACTGGAGTTCAGTGCTTAGGAAAACAACTGCATTAGTTGTTTGGTTTTTGGTTTCTTTGTATTTTTTTCCCCCAACTTTCCATCCTGTTCAATTGACTCTGCAGCCTGGGGAAGACAGGTTGTTTCCTGGGGATATCTGTTAAGCACTCTTTCTCATAAAGTATTTGGTTTCTTAACTGCATTTACAACTCACTTCAAAGCTATCTTGTAGTGCTTTCTACCATTTTTCTGACATCTAAAATTTAGTCTCTTGCAGATTTCTAGTACAGAACCATCTGCTGCAGTGCTTAGTTTTCTGTTCCTTTTTCTTGCATTTAAAAATGGGAAGTTGGTGCTTATTCAAGCTGAATTCAAAGTGCTGAGGAGAGAAGCCCTCCTTGTTACTGACAAAAGAGTTATTGTGCTGACAGGAGCACTTCCCCTTTTCCCTCACTTGATTCACAGGGAATGCTGAAGCCAAAAATTATATTAATAGAAAATGTATTTATTTCAAAGCATAAACAAAAAGAAACAAGGATGTCAGGGTAAGAATATTTTAATTCATGTAAGTGAACATAATACAGTTAAAAATCACATTATTGATCACATATTGAACTTACACCTGGTCTTAATATTCTATACTGTCATGAACCATGTTTTCCACAGCAGAAAATGAACATGACAAGATTTTTCTGAGAAAAGATTATGAAGCAGTTTTATTAGTGTAATATGATTTAGCTATAAGGAACAATAAAAGTACTGGTCTGATGCAGCAAAGTTTGTGGTGTTAAATGAGTTCAAGTTTGCAAAAGAATTATGTTCAAATTTTTGAGATTTTAGTGTCCACAATATCACATCATTGTGGTTCTAAATGGCATTCACACTTTATTGGACATTCATTCTCAGTAGCTGACTTCCACAGTCCTTTTCCAGTACATGCAATTGTTTGTGACAAGCTTTTTTGTGCGACCATCCTTGCTAAGGCACTTGAGAACATCTTGACAATTACAAAATTATAACATCAAACTCCAATTCTGATTTTGTAAAATATTCATGATAAAAAAAAATAATCAGATAGTGCAAAAAGAGGAAAGTGATTTAACTTAAGATTACACTAGATCTCACTTAAGATCTCACTACAGAGTTTTAACAAATATATCCTTTAATTTCAGTAACTTGCTGCTCCAAGTAACATGCCACAGGATCCGTTCTCACCAGTTCTTCAGTCACCAAGACATCAGTTTAATAGTGTTTCATTGCCAGAATCTGTTGAGAGCTGGCTTTGTCGATTTCTTCTGTAGAAATAGGCTGCCATGCCAGCTCCAAAACCAGTTAAAACAGCCAGGAAAATGAATGGCCAAACAGAGACATGAACAGGGGAGTGAGTGTCTTCATTCTTTTCCTTGCCTGAAATGAATCCATATAACTGTGAGAAACCATACCAGTTTTTATTTCCCCATAGAACATGAAAAGCATGAAGGAGATGCCTGAAGCTGAAGTAAATCTGAGCCCTGAATTGATGCTTTTCAGTAGTCAGGTCTCTGTTCCTAAAGCTAACATGGTTTTAGTGGATCTGGAGTACAGTGATGTACAATGCATGCAGTGGATGCTTGTGAGAATTCAATGAAAATGTATGCTTTAGATGCATATGGGATGCTAATTTTTGGAAATTAGTTTTACAATATTTTTTGTTACATGATTTATAATAATACTTTTGAAAGAAACTTTCATATACATCTACATCATTTCCAACAGCCTAGTTAAAGCACCCTGTAGTTTTTCTCAAAATTCTCCTCAAGTCTGGTCACTGCTTGCCAGCTCAGGGTTAGCCCTGCAGCAGTTCCTGTTGGCCAAGAAGAGGTGAGTGAAAGGCATGGTGGGGTTACCCAGAGGGATTGATAACCGTGAGAGATTGATAACTACTGATAACCTCAGAAGGACTTGCTCTCTAAAAAAGAGTGTCTTGGAAGAACTCACTTTAAGTTCTTCCTCTATTTAGATTTTTATTAATTTTCTTGTGAAACTTCTTACCTCCTTGCTTTATGGGACTCCCATTCGGCTCAACTTCAATGAATATCAGAGAGAAAACATATGACACTTTATTAGAATCCGTACATTTGACTGTTTGCAAAAATAGTACAGGAAAAAAAAACCCTGAAGTTCATTAGCAACACATATGTCTGCTATAAAAGGCAACAAACCGAGGCAAAAAATACATTGCTAAGCTTTCATCTTCCTACAGAACATTACTTTATCCACTTCTGAAACTTTATATTGTTTTTATATTATCAACATTAAAATACTGACTTCTTTCTATGTTCATTCAAAATACCTTTTCACATTTTTCCTACAGTATTAATTTTAATGTACTAAGAACATGATGTATCACTTTGGAGATTTGTTTTACATGGCATATTTTAGGGAAGATCTGCATGCCCAGATGTTACAAAATTTTTGATTTCTAAACGTCTTCCCAAGAAAACACCTACTGAATCACATGAGTAAGCTTCCTATTCACCTCTGTGTAAGATAGAGATAAATGAAAGACCTCTATAAAATTGTTTTGTTGCTTTTGAAGAAGTGCAAAAAAAACCCCAGTTTGGCACTCAGAAATGAAGAATTATACGCATAGAAATAAAGATTTCTAAATTATCATGAAAATATTTCTCCTCTTGGCTCTTCCACATTATAGATTGCAAACACCCTTGACACCCAGAGGAGAATTTATAAAGGCAAAATGTAAAGTGAAAGCAAAGCAGAATGCATAATGAATAGATACAAAACAACTGTAATCCCTGCTGAGGCAGGAAATAGTATATATGGGAGCACTGTATGATTCAATGGATGAACTTCAGTGATTCCTTATTATTTAAGTACTGTGTAGGATGGAATGTAATTTGGATATTTTTAGTAAGTCTTTAATAGGGATTAACTAACTTACTGTCATGGGTATGTGTTGATTTAGGCACAGAAATTAACAGTGCATGGGAGATGAGCATTTCTTGGTTACAGTTCAGCGTCTTCTTCTAATTAAAGACTACTTGGAGAAATGAGTAAATGCTAACCACAAATTTTTTGTTATATCTTGAGATGTCTTTACATTGAAATTAAGTTTTTCAACTTTTCATCTGAATAATAGGATCCTAAAACTGACTTTAAAGCCAGCCTTTTTTTTGGGGGGGGTGGGGGGTGGGGTTTCAACATAAGACAGAGATTCCACCATGATTTACTGGGAACAATGCACAATGCAAAAGCTGGAAAATGAAACCTGAGATCACAGCTACTGCAAAAGAAAGTGCAAAGGTTTAACAATGGCTACTTACCATTTTTTTAGGTTAGATAGATTGACTTTTAACATCTAGGTTAGAAGATTGAGATGATACTGCTTTCTTGCAGATGATTTCCTTTGTATCTCTGCTCGGGAATAATTCATGTAGTGTTCTATCTCTGAAGCATTAGTCTGGTATATATAATATTGTGTGAAATTTTCCAGAAATGCTGATAAGACAGCTTCTCTAATGACCTGAAGTTTTCATTTTGAAGGGAAGTGTTCCTCATATCAGAATTGCAACACAAACAGGTGACCTTTTAGAATCACTGAGACATTACTGAAGCAGGGCCAATATGAAGCCAGTTTGGAATGTTGGGAAGTAATACATTTTTTGAGAATAACAAGCTGGAAGAGGAAGATTGATTATTCACTTTGATTCCTCTTTGCAAG